TGCGACTCAACAATGGCGTCTCCGACTCTATGGAAACTACTACGAAACCCGTCCGCCTCTAAAATCTCAACATTTCTCCGGCAAACCCATCCACTCACCCAAATCCCCAAACCACGCGACACTACGCCATTGTCGAATCCACCCGAAGCAGAATATTTGAGATCGAATCTTTCTTTAGGCGCACCCGTTTACCCTAGCTTTCCGTTCGGGCTCTTTCTCGGCCCGGTTTCCCAGGGCCCATCAATCCGACCCCAGCCCGACAGCGAAATGGCTCCGGACGAGTCTATTATCATACGAGCTGATAGTGTGAAGAAGAAGAGAAAAAAGAAGATGAACAAGCACAAGCTGAGGAAGCTAAGAAGGCGTCTCATGAGGAAAACGTAGTTCAAATTATTTGGGTTTTAGGTGAGATTATGTTTGCTACTATTATGATATTTAATCTTATTTCTCTGGAATAAATTGTATTCCATTTTTGCTCAAATTGTGTTTTGATCCACCAATGAAGGTACTGGTGTAGAACATCAGCAAATTTATGATAGAACATCAGCAAATTGATGATTTGTTACAATTTAGGATTATGTTTGTAGATAGTTTACATTCTTGAGCTGTAGATTTACTCTTTAGGTGGTCGATTCGAAATCTGTTCTGTTTGTTATTTTCAGTGCCAACTTAGTGGAGATTGGTGTGGGGGTTTTGAGTTCTTTGCTGAGTTCACTGATATAAGTTCATATTACTAGAAGACCTTAGCTTAGATGGATAAAGCCTGTGCCGAAATCTAGGATGAACAATCATTTATTGTTCAAAAGTTCTGAAGCAAATAGAAGTAATATGCGGATATTGTTTGTCACAATTCAGAGAATATGGGCTGAAGTCTTTGAACATGCTAATCAGATCATGGTAAAAGTTCTTGCTTTCAGCTTCCTGAGCATTATTTTGTTCTTTCATTTGTTTTTGATCAATGTTTATATATAAACTGATTAAGAATTAATTTGCACAGTCCACATTGTGGTTTGGGGATTCGTAGTTTCTCAATGTATTGGTTCGTACTTACACAACTTGGTTTACATGTCTTAGATGCTTAGTTTATGTGAATGCTGCATTGAGGTTCGTACACTTTGAGCGGATATCTTAAATGCCTGTTGAAGTTCAGAAGCAGTTTAGGAGTGAAATAATAACAAATCCGGACATAAATCAAACTTAGTTTCTAACTGTTGTGCTGTGATAATCAGAAAGAGTAAGCATGTAGCCCATGTATGTATATATTGGTTAAAGCTTTGTTCGGTGGTGATTGGATTTTTTTTTTTTTAATTGAATTTATTTGATAAAGTGACTTAATTTTGAGAAAAGTTGATTGAGTGGAGATTTGAGTGAGATTTTGAGTTTGTATTTAAATAATATTTAAAATGTAATTATGAAAGTTGATGTGATATAAAAGTAGGAGAAATATTGTTGAAAATGATAGTTAAAATTATGTGAGTGAATGAATAATGAATTAAAGTTAATATGATATGTGAAAATCATAGATTGATATGATTTAATTGTATTGATAATATCGAAGAGAGTTGAGTTGGTTTTGAGTTAAAAAAGTCGTAAAAAAATTATCCAGCTAGAAATTATCCTTTTTTTAATAACCAATCGCAGCCTTCGTAGTTTGTGTAATTTCTCCTATTTCTAGACCTTTGTTTTGGTTTTAGAAAGAACACCGCAATGGCGGCTGATTGCCCTTTCGTATTTTGAAGGCTATTTTGCTGTGACTCTGTATATATATCTTAAGTTTTTCTGTGTTTCAGGAAAGTGAGGTGCCTGAGGATGATCCACGGAAGAAGTCGTCGTCATTTAATCTACATTTTGTATTTTGAACAACTTATAGAACAAGTTAGTTACTTCTTTGCTATATGTATGGTCCAGAAATCCTGGTTTTGGTGCATGCAGCTGTGTCTCTGGCTGAATTTATAATGAAGTGCCGCTAATAAATTGAAAACCATGTTCTTTCTCATATTGTTGTCCCCTTATTACATTATATGTTGCCTTTTCATATTCTCTCATTGGAATCCATTACTTGCAATACGCATTACCATAGTGTTATGTACCCGATATAGGGACAATTGTCCTCATATTTTAGGTTATATTATGATATGTAATGGACTTGGGCTTTAAATTTTATATTAGTAGGCTAATATAGTTGGGTTTTTGTAAGGAAATTCTTTTAAGTAGAGTGGAGTGTAAAAACGTGGAACAAGAAGATGTATCTAGCAATCTATCTCAATTTCGTTGAGATGCAGGTGGATATAATCTTTGTATCCGGCTTAGGTGAATATGACCAAGCCTAAAATGTCTGTAGATATGTTTCGTTCATTTTCGAAGGTTTCTTCCTCTTATTATGATTAGATGATGAATTAAATAATTGTTTGTATTGCACTGTGGGAAACTTTGGTTCTAGAACATAAAGACCGCCTACTAATGAATCGTCGCAAATTATTTTCTTGCCGAATCTAATAATATCTTCGTTTATCAAACGATGAAAAAAAAAAACCATTCGCTTAAGGTTTAGAAACTAAAATCAAATTCTTGAAGCCGTGAACATAAAGGCAGTTGTTCAAAACCAAGTTTCTATCTAATCCAAAACATAGATGAACGTCTCCCATTGCAATAACAGATGTCTTAGAGCGTTGCCCATGTAGACAATGATTCTCTTTTTGTTAGTCGTCTAGTTTCTTAGAAACTCTGCAACGAGTTGCAGACATGATCAGTGGCACCCGTATCCACACACTATACACTAGTGGCACCCGTATCCACACACTATACACTAGTGGAAATCACCGCTAAACATGTTGACACGACTAGTGAAAGAGACTTATCAATTTTGTCCTTTTTGAGAAAAGGGCAGTTGATTTTTCAGTGTCCTTGTTGCATATAATGGTCGCACTAGCCTTCCAGCTCGTGCACCTCAGCAGCTGACACCGTGTCTGTTTGTTATGTTTTTGTGCTTATTTTTATGTGTTTATGTGTGTGTTCGAGTCGATTTTAGGTTCGTTTTAGTGTCGACCGATCTATTTTATCGTTTTCTGAGTGTTTTTG